GGGAGGTTAGTGCATGCGGCCCTTAGTATCATTGAAGCAGCTGGCGGCTGGCGCTTGAGGCTGAAACATTTCGGATAGCAATTTCAATTACAAGCGCTTCTTCGGAGACAGATCTCATTCTTACAGATAATTTATTGTTAAAAGAACACAGATTATGGCGTCAAAGATGTATGATCTTCGGGATAATTTACTAAAGATGACATTGATATCTCTTTCAAGGTTGTCAGGCTGTGATTACCTGGTGGTTCTCTTTGTTTTTCTCGTCTGCTCCTCAAGCGGCGCAACATACGCAAAGCGAGCATTACGTGCGAAGTCCTAAAGTATAGATACCCACAGAACGAAAATAGAAAAGAGAGATTAACAATAAGGAAGTTTTTACACACCGCAGAGAGTTATGGCATCAGAGGTGCGATAGGTGGAGCCGGGCCCCCCAAAAGTGAAGGTGGTTCCAGCTACCACTGGCCGGCCAAAAGTGAAGGTGGTAGTGCCGGACACTCACCTCTCAAAAACGTCGACCGGGGGGGGGGGGGGACTTCGGATAATTGAAGAACTCTGACCCAACGGTCTCCTTGAGGGCCAACAAGTGTGACCTAACGGCCCTCTTTAGGGCCACAAATACGATGAGTACAGCGGCATAAAAATAAAAAAAGAAATAAACGTGTTATTCAAATGGTCTATTTGTAAGTAAAACCCAGTTAGACTTTACGTATTTTATTAAGTAAATTTTGTTATAACGTATTACGAATAAAGTAGGTCGATCCAGGCAGTAACCACCGAGAACCAGAATTTCGAATAATAAAATAACGTAAAATCATGCAAAATTTCCACTGTTATATATCTAGTAGTTGAAGATGTCAGCAATTGCGACTTCATAGGTTTTTAAGGGCAAGTGTTGTTCTACCAGATAGTGAAAGAATCTGGTCGATTTGAGCAGTGGCCGCCGAGAACGAGAATTTTAAAAAATTAGGCGAATTTGGGTTACTTAGTGACAGCTGACGTTTAAACTCCTACAAATCTGGAATGTAAAGGTTTGCAATGTTGCGACTTCATAGGTTTTGTAGAGCAAGAATTTCTCTATCGGAGTATATCTTAGCCGTACCGATCCATTGAGATACCGCCGAGATCCAGGGTCTTGAAAAAGCAGGTAAAAATCCGCTTTTTGAACTTCAACAGCTCATAACTTCTTCAGAATTGCACGAATCATGTTGCGACTTCATAGGTTAGATTCTTCTCATCAAGAGCTTTCAGATGATATATAATATGTGGGGGTTTCGCGCCTTTCACGGCATATGCCCGGGGGTGGAGACTTTTCACCCCAAAGTCTCCATTGGCGGTCTCCGGCCAATACATTAACATGGGCGAGGTGGAGACTTTGGGGTGAAAAGTCTCCACCCTGGGTTAGAGCCGCAAAAATCATTGAGCCCCCCACATATTATATATCATCTGAAAGCTCTTGATGAGGAGAATCCAACCTATGAAGTCGCAACATGATTCATGCAATTCTGAAGAAGTTATGAGCTGTTGAATTTCAAAGAGCGGTTTTTTACCTGTTTTTTTAAGAACCTGGATCTCGGCGGTATCTCAATGGATCGGTATGGCTAAGACATCTTATATATAAAGCTGAATGTCTGTTTGTATGTATGTATGTATGTATGTATGTCTGTATGTCTGTACGTATGTTCCGAATAGAAAATTTCATTTCTGAACCGATCCGGACCAAACTTGGCACACATACACTTCGGGCCCCGGCGGGTGTCATAGGCTACTTTCGTCATCGATCGATATCGATTTTATCGATTTTTATCGATTTTTTTGCAGAGTTCACCTACGGGGCTGGGAATTGGCACAGGGGGGTAAGTGAGCATGGGGATTCCGAACACAATATTGGTTTTCAGGATTATCGATTACTTTTATCGATTTTATCGATTTTTTTGCAAAGTTTGAGCTACGGGGCTGGGAGTTCGCACAGGGGGGTAATCGAGCATGGGGATTCCGAATACAATATTGGTTTTCAGGATTATCGATTACTTTTATCGATTTTATCGATTTTTTTGCAAAGTTTGAGCTACGGGGCTGGGAGTTCGCACAGGGGGGTAATCGAGCATGGGGATTCCGAATACAATATTGGTTTTCGGGATTATCGATTACTTTTATCGATTTTATCGATTTTTTTGCAAAGTTTGAGCTAGGGGGCTGGGAGTTGGCACAGGGGGGTAATCGAGCATGGGGATTCCGAATACAATATTGGTTTTCGGGATTATCGATTACTTTTATCGATTTTATCGATTTTTTTGCAAAGTTTGAGCTAGGGGGCTGGGAGTTGGCACAGGGGGGTAATCGAGCATGCTGATCATCCCCAAGGGGGGTGATCAGCATGCTCGATTACACCCCTGTGCCAAATTCCAGCCCCCTAGCTCAAATTTTCAAAAAATCGATAAAATCGATAAAAGTAATAGACGATCTTGAAAACTAATATTGTATTCGTAATCTGCATGCTCGATTACCCCCTGTGCAAACTCCCAGCCCCGCAGGTCAAACTTTACAAAAAAACGATAAAATCGATAAAAGTAATGGACGATCCTGAAACCTAATATTGTGTTCGTAATCAGCATGCTCGATTACCCCTCTGTGCAAAATCCCAGCCTCGCATGTCAAAATTTACAAAAAATCGGTAAAATCAATAAAAGTAATCGATGATTCTGAAAACTAATATTGTATTCGGAATCCCCATGCTCACTTTCCCCCTGTGCCAACTCCTAGCCCTGTAGGTGAACTCTGCGAAAAAATCGATAAAAATCGGTAAATCGACATCGATCGATAACGAAGAGTGGACTGTGACACCCGCCGGGGTCCGAAGTGTATGTGTGCCAAGTTTGGTCCGGATACGGCGAAGCCGGGTAAGCCAGCTAGTAGTCCGATAAAGAAATTCTCGCTCTACAAAACCTATGAAGTCGCAACATTGCACACCTTCATATTCCAGATGTATAGGAGTTTAAACGTCAGCTGTCACTAAGCAACCTAAAATCGCTTAATTTTTCAAAATTCTCGTTCTCGGCGGCCACTGCTCAAATCGACTCGATTCTTTCACTGTCTGGTAGAACAACACTTGGTCTTCAAAACCTATGAAGTCGCATTTGCTGACATCTTCAACTACCAGATATATGACAGTGGAAATTTCGCATGATTTTTTGCTATTTTATCATTTGAAATTCTGGTTCTCGGCTGCCTACTGTCTAGATCGACCTACTGCATAGATATATGCTCTCAATACTTTCTTTTACTTTCCTTTTGCTTATTTTCCTTCTTTTAAGCTTCAGCAAAAAATTTTTTTCAAACCCAAAAGTGAAGGTGGTCACCCGGTATCAGCTCAAAAATGAAGGTAGGCGGAGTCTCGGCTCCGACTATCGCACCTCTGTATGGCATGCCTTGAATGCGCATCACGCACATCATGCAAGCTGAGGTAGAATTAACCTTGAGGTACTTTGATGAATACGAAACAGCCTTAAGGTAGAGTGTACCTTGAGGTATAATCTACCTCAAGGTTCATTTTACCCTAGGTAGCAATGATGAATACGGCCTATGGTGTTCTTCACCACTGATCAAGAGCACAACCTCAAGCGCTCTACTCTGTCAGATGATATGTGGAAGTAAACACTAAAGAAACTTGCTGGGAATAGCTGCTGGAGAAAGCTCATAATTTATTTTCCCAACATTACCCTTTTCAGCAATTCATCTACAATGTATCCCCCAGAATGTGCGGTAGTGAACCAACGCACAAATGCAAGGATGAAAAACATGGCGATCGTCGCCGTTCACAGACAAAAACTGGACGCGCGCCAAGTGGTGCCTGTTACCGTTCACGCTCTCAAAGCTTCCACATTTCAAATCGACCTTTTCAAATACGAGGCATAGTTCTCCAAAAATACACGGCACAGTCAACAGCAAAATCAACCCAATTTTTAAGCCTGCTTTTCAGTCTTGTTGATATCCGCTCACGTAAGAAATGATGGAGATTTTGAAATTTCCAAACAAAAAAAGTCTCGGACAAGTTGAAAAGTAGCAAACATAGAGTGCAACGCAACAACACCTCCCATGAAAATCAAAGTGCATTTCGTGTGTATCATTCAACAAAATGAAGCAAAGAAGTAAGCTTAACAAACTATGAACGAACCAAGATGATGTACTCAAGTGCCGATTACCCATCTATGTTTATATACTTCAGTAAGCGCGATCATATACTCCGTCCCAGTCGGGATGAAGCCAAACCGTTTGCATCTCAGCGCTAAGTGTTTGCGCTAACAAGGGAAGGATACCAACATTAGTCGGCGACTGAAGATGAGACTTATATCAGTAGACGCGCCTTTGAACACTGATTTTAAATCTGTATTCCTTTTTTGCGGAATAGGTCTCCGAAAGAAGTTGTGGGCGTTCAAATGTCCAAATTTGTCAAGGTTTAGGTGGCCTAAAGTTGGCGAAAAGCTGCACAAAAACACCGAAAAGTGGAAGATCGGTTTTGTATCAAGTATACTGTTCGCAAGGAAGGAACAGAGCCGGTGGAAATCGCATAGGTCTTGTTTTAGAGCTTTTCGCTGATTTTAAGCTTCTCAATGCTTGGCAAATCTGGACATTCAGACGTTTATAACTTTTTTCGGAAACTTATTCCGCAAAAAAGGAAAGCAGATTCGGAATCAGCGTTCAAAGGCGTATCTAATGATATACATCTCATCTTCAATTGCCAGCTAATGTTGGTATCCTTCCCTTGTAAGTATGCGCGTTGTCGGAGACAATATTGTAAAGATAGCAGACAAGCTAGTCGTACATGTGACGCGAATCTCTCGCGACTGAACTCCCGCCATGCCATTTTTGGAACGATTTGGATTTAGAGCAGACCGTATATAGATTAATAAACTTGTAATTCGCCTGATATCAGAACACTCGTCATTCCTGCATAGATGACAGTGTAAGTTACCCACCATTTACTTTAGGTGTTCAAACAACAATTACTGGTAACTTTTATTGCTAAAACAGAATCAGCACGTCTAACATAATTGGCAACTTACAGTTGATTAGTGCCTGTTGCTTGCCATTGAAACACAGAACAACGAGGCAGTGGTGACCACACACAAAGAGAGGAAAAAGACTGGGCATTTAGGAAACAGCCTGCCATAATCAATCAATACGAATAATACGGATCGACATTGTAGGATGATGGTAGGGATGAGGAACGAGTGAGACAACATAAACAGACATAGAGACATATTTTGAAGCGAGAAACATGATAACTGCATCAGTTTATGCACGTAGTGATGACAAGCATGAAAGGGAAGAGATAGAGGGGGAGATGTGTGGTGATCCAAAGCACATCCGGATGGTCGTGGCTTTGACGTACAACCCACAGCGATTGTATGGGCAAGTAGCGTCGAAAGCTCGACTAAGATCGATATAAGTATTCCTAACACATAATGAAAATCACATATATTGGAGAAAACCGACTAATGAACAGGAGAAAAGAAAGCTGTAATCATACGTAAGCTATTGAGACAAAAAAGTATACCAATACACTGACAGAGTATCGTTTATCGAATAGCAGATGTTGGAGCAATATGCAAAATGCGATATCAAACCAGGAGTTAGCTTAATCCCAGCAGACATGAACCATGTTAGCACCAAACGTTACCAAAATTGTTTTCAGTAAAGTTGATGTAGCTGTACTAACACAGTTTGCAACTTGAAAAATACGATACATTCAATGCATTCTGAAAGAATTACTCACTCCGCTACACTTGCACGAACAAAGCCTGACTCGAATGTGACAAATGCAGCGAAACGACATCACATGGATGGACAGTGTACTTATAGCAACTCAAGGCCAACGGTCAATATGAAGCTCACGAATACATCAAACAGGCGGATAGAAAAGCGCAAAACATATTCCGTAGTGGCATGCGTGTTTTAAATGGGAAGAATGCAAGAGAACGGCAACTATGGTGCGGTAAAAAGAGAAAAGGGTGGCGAAGGCAGTACGCAACTTAACAAAAAAAAACACACTAGGCCTGATTGCGCCGAAAGACGGGCGGTGCCTAAATTCAGCACCACCATCAAGTTATAACAACCTATTTGATCAGATGTGAAAGCGCGCAAATGGGAGCGGAGGATGCGAAGTCCACGAGACACCTCTATAACAGCTTGAGAAGAAAACCATGACTATACCCTATTCGATCAGTGAAATCGGCAATTTGAGAATAAACAGAGGTATACGCTTGCTAAACGCGCTACATGAATCAGAACATATGCAAGAGTAAGTTTGTGGAAGAGATGACAAAAATCACGTTTGCCGGCGATGCAGAAACGAGGACGACATGATTGCGAGAAACTCAGAAACGCACCGACTGGACACCGCGCCGGACGGGACGCGGCGACCGTGAAGGTGAGGGCCTAGGCCGCCGTGGGCGCGCAGAGCGAAGCGAAGGACGGCGGTCGACCGCAGAGGAACGCGGCGGTCGCTCGTTGCAGCATCGAGCCGGTAGATTCCCAAAGTTCACGCGTTTACGCGAAGTACATAACGTTGTTCGCATCAGGATGCACCTGGAAATGAATCATTCGGCGCAACTGCTATGAATGCCGTCGGTAAACAATCTTCAACAGCTCCTGTTACCTGTACAGCTCTTGCCATATTCGAAAGTGTGGTGTCCTCAGATGTGCCTGACGGCTGGCTGCCTTCGCCTGAGTCATGTTCACGATCGACGAGATGATAACGCGCTCGAAATGCAACCAAATGAGCATAGTAAGCTGGAGCTGGTATTGAAACCGAACGAGTACATCTTACGTACGTATGGCACATCTGTAAAATCACACTAAATTTACCATGATGATGTCAGTGAGAACTTACTTGATAAGTGAGTTGCTGCAACTCATCTGCTGTTAGCTCATTATCATCCCAGAGTACATGGTAATGTGAAGGTCGAGATGTCCCTTGGATACCCGCATGAGAACACAGATAAAAATCAAATTCTGTTGGATGGGTGATTCCTACGTCGACAGTGGTTCCCGGAGGAATATTGAATGCTTTACCAACTTGGTCCTAAAAGCGGGGTATGTGTACAATGAAGCATAAAGTTGAAACTAATTACCTTCTTATCGACGGCGAACAATCTAGTGTGATGACGTTTTTGTACGGCAATGAATGTAATACCCGGCTGATATCCGCTCTCTAACATCATGCACGCTTCACGCATTGCACGGAGTTCATATTGCAATACCTTTGATACGATATAAAAAACTGAAAACATCAAAATCCAAAGAAACTTACATTAAAGAACTGTCCTTCCGACACTCCATCTCGATAGACAACTATACGCGTTGGTTTGAAACGAGTGTTGCGGTAGAACTGCACAAGCAGTTCCCGAACCATATATGTGAGATCAGAAATAATTTCCTGACGATGTTGCTGCACACGTACAGTGGCCGCATATCTAGCAAGCAATGAAATTCATAGAATGAAAAGCAAAAGAAGGTAAACTATAACAATGTATGAATTATGATTTTCCAACAAAAAAAGCAAAGCAAACACTGCAAAAATCAAAGATATGATTTCTACCTGCTTGGATGCGCATCCATGCTTGCCACCACGGCAGCGATAGATGGTTTGCGTGAATCTCCGGCAGGCGGATGAGTTATATCGCAACCAAAGAAGATGACTGCAAAACAGCGTTATAGAATAACCACCTTTTAAAATAACAAGCAGACCTGGCTCATTGAAGATCCTTGGACGCACTGCCGGCAACAGAATGCTATTTACACCTCCTAGTTTCACATTCATTTTCAAACAGAGATTCGACAATGTCTGTGGTGTAGTTTTGATGACGTTTTTCGCTTGCACACATTGCGTAGCAATTCCGAGCACTGTATCACCGACACGTTTCACTTCAGCTAAACTTTATCTATAAACAAACTGCTTGGTATTTGGTAACACCGCATTACCATAAACGGGCGTCTTTCCAGGCAGAATTACCACAACCAGTTGAATACCCGAAAATGTTTGTTTGAGGTATTTGAACATCGGTTCCACCTGATCCACTCCCATTGCGTACCTAGAAAAAAGGTCCGCTAAAAGCACCATTCTAAGAAGTAGGGAGCTGAGATGTTTGAGCCATACAATCTTTAGCTCTAATTTTGACTGTGAAAATCTAGCACAGAAAGCAACAAAAAAAGGAACTTACTTGCAAAAGCAGGGTTGCCCAACAATAGGCATACCGGCATCATTGGATATACGTTGCAATTGAGCAGTAAAATTACGCAGATCATTCTCTTTTACATGCTGCTGTTGTGCGAAACATGCTATAGCCCAAACCTATAACGAACAAGCTGCTCAACACAATTCATGAAGAATTCGTTGATGTCACTCAACTCACCTTAACATCAATGCCAGTATGGAACTGTTTCCCACGCATATCCCAGACTCCTTGATTTGGCAAAGCTGTTGCTTTGTTCCTGCCACCGTACTGAAGCTTTGGTGCTGACAGAACCCGCCCTTTCACTTCAGTCATGGCAGAGTTGATTGCGATGCCAAACTCATGAGCAAACGGATCTGCCGAAAATTCGGCCTTTCTGACCAAACTGGCAATTTCACGTTCACGTTCTGGCGCAGACCGTGCCGTTGCCTGAGAAGAAAATATAAATTGGGTCAGAAGAAAATGATTCTGAAGTTACCTTGATCATGGTCGACGTCTGTGTGTCCGTTAGTTTTTTGATGCAACGCTGTCCTGGTACAACATGGCATACTTCAGGAGGCAAATAAGTGTGCTTTTGCTCTTGGCCAACCTGAAGTTACGTAATCACCTTCTCGGATGAAGAGCAGACAGGACATACACACCTGCAGACATGGTAGATGTGGATACTTGAGCTGGATACGATATTTGTCGTAAAAGTACTTGGCAACGGTACATTCGATAGTCTGGCCAGTCTCTAGTTGTAGCGGAAAGCTTAAAAAATGTAATCATTTAAAACCATTATTTCCCAATTTTCGGCCCCAATGAGAGCCACAAAGAGTTGCAAGTGTGTAAATGTTTTACGTTTGTGTCTGCGCTGGTCTCCTCGTAACATTGCACACACGATATTTACGACGCATAGTACCACAGTGGGTGATTTCAATTTTTAGTCCTCGGATCTCTTTGGTGAACTTCACACGCTGCGCGTCCGATAAGGCACGACGTTCTGTTAAAGCCTGAAGAGACCAACTTATAGCAAATCGTCGAGAAAGGGGATTTCAAAAACGATGATGAAAAACGTATGCAAAATAAGAATACCTGAACAGGTAGCTCGAGTACTTCAGCCACAAACTCAATAACGGGCATGGATCGATAGAATGCTGTGGCAGATACTGAAATGGTAGAGACCGAGTGAACCGAACTTTATTGAAAAGGTCTATGGGTACGTACCATCAATATTGAGCATCATTTTCCACTGTGATGGCCTCACCGACTGATGAAATCCAAACCAAACCTCACGTCCTCCGCCTAGCTTACTTTCCATGTGGTACTGACCATGCTGTTGTGGTGCCTGATGAGGCTGAGCTGGTGGGGAGAAGAATGAACGTCCCACGGGAGTGTACCTTAGCGGATATGATCATACAGGAAGTACCGCAAATAAAATTAAACGCGATGAAGCAATTTGTGAGTTTACTCGAAATGAAAAAACTAACTTCAAACTCGGCAGATGTCTCAGGATGACATCCATAGCCTGGACAGCTTCAAATGGCACCTGACGAACGCGACCCTCCATTGCATCTTCAAGAGTGGATAGTGAAACTTGGCCTGCCCATTTAACGGTCACAGTGAACTGACGTTCCACAGCCGAATCGCCCGGCAGCGTCACCTGCAAATAAACGCCATACATTCTTAATTCAAAATAGACCTGTCTTACCTCAAATTCCATTTTTTCTCTCCCAATGGGCAACGGTTCACGCGTATACATATTTCTTTTTCCATCATATACTGGCCTTGTCGAACTGAAGTACTTCCCAAAAGAGCGAATCATGCAGAGTATAATCTCCCTAGAAAGATAACTCATGAGAAACTTGAGAGGACGCGGATTTTTAAGTTTAACAAACGCAGATTCTGAGCTCAATTGAGATCGAAAATGATGCATTCAATATCACATCCTCTGCAATTTCCCTTCAGCTTGAAAATGACTTCCTAGCTTGCAAGCTGCTCGCTTCTATGTAGTCAAGTTGCCTACAGATTTCTGTTACGCCAACAAAAACTTCATTTTATTTTGTTATAAGAGTGAATGTAAAAAACTAAGTGCACCTTCATTCTTATTTTGAACAAACTACGAAAGTAAACCAGTATGATAATAGCTCTGAGTGATCTTGACGTTACAGCTACACGCAACTTCAATAAGGTAAATTGCTACTAAACTAGTATATCCACAGAAATTCAATTCTTACAAAAATCAAGTTTGCCTAGAGACCTATTGCTAAAAAATTGATTAAGGATATGAAAAGCGGTATTATCTCAATGATATTTAATCATTTGAGCTTATCTCAATGATATTTAATCATTCGTGCGAAACCTTTTCAATGCAACAAAAACAGTTATAACCGTCAACTGATGTTTTCCATGCTATGCCGGCAAACAACAGTTTTTGCCTGCTCGAACTGATTGAAGAACGTAACAAGACAACAATGTTTCGTTTACTACAAAAGCATTTAGAACAAAACTGCAAATAGGCCTAAAACGTGGGTAGCATTCTACAAATTAATTAGCGCCCTGTATCTAACATTTACCAATGGCAGATGGTGCACAGTACAACACAAGCAAAGCATGATTTTGTAATTTGACAAAAAAAAACCCACCTGTTCACTCTTCGTGGGCACTTATCCGGTGAAACATCTACATGATAGTGCTGTATCGTACCACCAGGCATTCGTACAGCAAAATGATTCGCTCGGAGCAAGATCGAGCGTCCTTCGAGACCATGATTTGGACGGCGTGGACACTGGAATTGCACCCCACCAGAAAGCCTGGAACGTAAGCACCTCGCTAAAGCACATCTATTTGATCGTGATTAGAAGATATGACTAACGCAGGTAGTTGACTTCCGCCGGACGGCAGTGCTCCCTGTTGTTGTGATCCAGTGCCTCCCTGAGATGTGTCGGTCTGACCTGGTGGCACACCTATGGGTGCTCCCGGTGCCAAGCTTCCACCCTGGCGCGATGGAGCGTCTGAATATGATAAAACGCCCGACGCCGAGAGAAGTGAAGCAGTTGTCTGAGCAACGGAGAACATGTCCTAAAATAGGATTATGAGGTACCGATATATTTCATGTATTCATGCTTTGGTTGTGTGAACGTCGGGTATACGATCAGCACTGGTTGTGACAAATGGAGATTGCTAGAAAAAGGTAGACTCCGCTCCCCCCCCCCCCTGCTCTTACGCCGCTCGAAAAATCATTTGTAGTCAACATTTGCACATAGCATACTTGAGGCAAACTGGGATATTCGTTTCAGCCCCACCCCCCCCCCCCCTACAAAGATACTGAAAAGTAGCAGGTTGAGCAGATTACTGCATAACACGACATGAACTTACAATAAAAGAGCAGCTGTAGAACTTATACCTGCTTACAACCCTGGTCGCAGCATGATTAAAACCAAAAATAACCCACAATCATACGAACATAAAAACTGAAGATCGGAACTTTACAAACCTGCAGTTGAGGTGGTTGCTGTGCAGGATGCGGAAAGGGTGGCCCGCTCATGAATGGACCTGGCATCCCCGGTATATGACCGCCGAGTATACCAGGTATATATTGCTGAGGTTGCGGTGCGTTTCCTCCTCCTCCACCGCCAGCACCAAGCATATTTATTGGATCGTTGAACGAGAAACTATCTGTAAAAAGACCAAATGTGAATCGAACTAATGAATTTAGAAGAGCTGATGTGTGGAAGAAAGTTGTCATATTTCAAATGAAATCAAAACAGGGTTAACGATTAGTTTGCCATAATCGTGAACATTGCACAAGCTACGAGAAACGCGAACCATGTTCCTTCCGTTTGGACTACCGTCTTCTTCTCCTACTATTGTCATTTACACGAAAGGTCTTCGCTAAACTACACATTTTCACAAGACTATGGAAGAAACAAAACCGAAGTAAAAACATGGATGGCAGCCGTTGAAAGGACTGATGATGACTAGTACACAATAATCCTATCGCACGATATGCGTCGCAACGCCTCCCACACCTGGTACGACATACAGGGCGGAGTGTAGGGAAAAACGCCGCTAGACGACGAAGACATTCCTCTACGCGATCGCTAAGCTGTACTATGAGACTCCTGCTCTGATATACGAATTCGCTGACTTTCACTTATCTGCATACTTCCCGATAAGATTTTTATCCGACCAATGATTTTGAATTTGACGCCTATGAATCAAAACAAATTTCATTGATCTTCCTTTAGCATTCAGTCAATATTCAATCCACCAATGACACAATACAGACTTTCAAATTGCCTAGAGTATTGTTATGTTCGCGTAGATCTTAACGAGCGCATCGATATGGCAAAGCTAGTCAAGCATGACGAATTACCAATTTGCCATCAGTAAATGTATAGATGATCTCATATAATGCTACCTCCACAGCATGACGTAAACATGACGCGTACGACAGCTATAACACAACAAATCACTTAGCGCATTCTGTGGAGATGACTTAATTTCTCAGATTTAATATGTTTATGACATCTATTACAGGCACTATAGCGAAAAAAAACTAGTGTGCTGAAGCGTGCATTTTCTACCTCCTTACAAGAATGTTGTTCATGATTATCACAACAAAAAGAGTGATTATTTAATATAAATAAAATCGTTACTGCCACCTACTCTGATTTCTTCGCTTATAAACTCTTCAGCTCCTCTTTGAACTAGTTCTTATGAAGCAAACACGCAAACGGTATTTGCAGCTATAGTAATTTACGGAAAAATCTGCTTCAATATCGATTGACGGCCCAAACATGTTTTTTCGTTCAAGCCTCTATATGGTGTCCAAAAAATGATTACACAAGAGTATCGCAAAAAACCGAGTATGTATGTGCCTATATACGTACGGCGATGACATAGTCAAGGATCTGATCCCTTCAATTCAATGCTTAGATTGACGACATTAGAGTGCTACTTGGTGCAAAACCCACACTATTACAAATGTGCGCGCTAAGCTTTTTTTCGAAAAAGAATAATGACGACAGCGCTGATCAATGAGACAATGTGGATTAGAAGTGAATCTTATTTGATAAGAACAATATTTGATAAGAACAATGCAATCAACGGTAAACTCGAAAAGATGATACCCCATAACGAAATGACCCTATTCAGATATACTTCGTGGAGCAAAGCTTACCTAACATACTCATAACCTGTTGTTGTTGTTGCTGATCAATCCCAGCGGCCATTATGACGACTTGAAAGAGGGCAGCGAGACGAACACGAACAAAGGCGCAAAATGTGAGCACGAAACACGAGGTACGTTTGTACTGACCTTAAATTTGAGATTACTGCAATAATGAAAGAAAGGGATTAAACTATCTAGCTAAACAACTTCAGATTAGAGTGTTTACAAGCTATGAGCATGAGGCGCATAAAAAGCAAAAATAAAAGATTTTATAACAAACCTATTTACTAGATAGGCAGATGAGATCGGTTGTCGAGAGGAAGATTCTTCAGTTCTTCCAATTCGACAAAATATCACAGCAAATGTTCAAGACGACTAGCACGCACTTGATGGTGTCAGTACATCGCCAGCGCTAGCTGCTCTAAATGATCAGGAGTAAAGCGGAATTCTTATAACAAATAAAAGAGGCAAATTATAATTCATAACGACTACAAGATGAAAGAAGTAAAAAACGTAGGAAACGTGTTAAATGAAACTGATCCTATTAACACATTAACAGCGACGATACGTGATAAGGAGGAACATGTGCCATTGAACACAGAAATCTATAGAAGCTAGTAACAAGTCATCAGTCGAATACCATTGAGCTATACTTCCAAACCATCACGCTTAACCTGCCTATGACCAGTCAAAACTCGCTCAAAAGCGCTCGAATTTCTCAGAATCGCTCGAATTCCTTCTTCACATTTCTCTCATCTCTCTTCATATACGTTCTGCGCTAGCCTAAACGCTGGCGCCTTTGGCTAGAGCGAAACGTAAGAAGAAGGGTGAAAATGTAAAGAAGAATTTCGGAAATTTGGGCGCTTTCGGGCGAAGTCCGGTCGGTGTTTCAGATACACTCTGTAAACCACAGATCTCAATCACAGCACCTTATTCATGACAAGTAAAATGATCCAGCAATATGCTTCTGGTCTATATGACACAACTGGTGCTTTCAAACAGCGGTCCCGCTGCCAAGCAGGTACTCATTAGGGACTGGCCATACTATTCCTGCGATTCCTGTGACCCTGCGAGTCCCGTAACAATGTACATTGCGAAAAAACCATGTGCACTGAAATCCGCAAAACGCTCCGTAGCGCGGCACATCGGAAGTTGAGGAATCACAAGAATTGCAAGAATTGTAGGAATTACAGGAATCGCAGGAACCGCCTCCTGGGATAGTATGCGGTCTCCTAGGTCTATCCTGCTTGGTAATTTCCGTTGAATAAGCGCATTATATTGCTCACAAGAAGGCAAACGGTTACGCAAAAGTTTAAAAAACTGAACACAGATAAGACCATCCCTGTCAGTAGCCCACACATAAAGAGATGATTTATGCGAGCAATCTGCAACAAAGAACATGAATTGCGGTGGCGGCATTACCAACGATATCAACACATCCAGTCTCTATAGAATATGCGCACAATTTCAATCATTTCGAAAACTGAATGTCATGGGGAGGTCAGACAATGCAAAAATATTGATTCAGATACTGGATATTGTATTATGGTGAGATAGATGAGCTCAGCATATTACCAATTCGGAGCTTGCTCCATAAAAACTTTTCAAAGAGATGTGCACTTGACAATACAGCGAGTAGAGAAAAAGAATATCCGATGGGGAAGAGCGCCACCATAAGCGCTAAATATAGCCAAAAGAGTCGAGATGAGTTCTAGATAAGTTTCAGAGAGAAATACAATTTGGCTTTGCACAAAAATAAATTCAAGGCCAAGTCTTCCAGCTTTTAAAGAGAAAGTTCGAGCTTATATCAAGCTGCTGCTGCGAAACACTTCAAGACACTGCACAATCGATATGTGATGGCAACAAAGCACGAGCAAAAGATGAAGTGCACCTGCACAAATTGGAAATGAAGCGAACGCTGCGACAACGATGCCAGAGGCAGACGTCGCTTTGCGCGCCTCTTGCAAAGCTATCCGAAAAAATCGATAATCATTGAAGACATCGCTCCGCACACCCACCAGGCCACGGCCAGCCGTCACCGCTACCGCGGCCGAGATGTGCCTTCGCGTCCCAGGGACAAAAACGGCGCCAAGCACGACCCGCTCTCTGTGTGCGCTGCTGCTCTCTTTGCACTTTCCTCCCTACTTCGCCGAAGGTTCAAGGGGTGAGGAAAAACACCGGCACTTGCACCAAGAGCAAGCACCGGGTTGAGATTGGACCGCGGGCAAAAGTCAAATGTATGCAGCTCCCTCTTAACACGTTGACGACCTTGTGTATCCGCACGTATGCACGCCCTGACTCCCGTTTAGCATTATCGTGCATCCGCGCATATGCACGCTAGTTTTCTAGGTGCAAACCAAAAGTTTTAAGGTAACTTCTATGCAGTAATACTATTAGTGGCCTGATTGTTTTACAGAACACAGGGCATCGCGGCAGCTGTTCAGAAGTTTTGCACGCAAAATTGGGTAATCAGTACGTTTTTGATGTAATCAATACATGCTAATTACGTTTTCTCGAGAAGGTGAAAAGTCTGTATAGCTGTTTTGAAATCAAACAAAGATGTATCAGGCAAAAAACATCTGGTTTTACAACGCTTTTCTCGAAGAGCGATTCCTCAGATATAGCCATTACATGGATTATTGGAGAGAAAATCGATGCAAAAACATTGATTTGTGTAAGTCCTGGTAAGGCTCTGTGATATACCTGTATGTCTGAATAAAGTTCGCATGTTTTACTAATAAGTGACAAAAAGACTCCCACATAATGTTTTCGTGCATCCGCGCGTATGCACGGGCCAAATGCGCTAAGGACGTTAGTGGGAGTTTCGCCCAAAATGGCGCGGTCGTCAACGTGTTAATTTATGATGGTTAGTTACAAAAATGAATCGATGCGTTTAAGATAACGACTATAAAATTCTACAACTTTGCTTCTTCCAATAAAAGTCCAAACTGAAAGTTAAATCACATCCATCACTTATGTCATTATGCATTGAACTTCGACACCACAAATAATGCCGTTTACACAAGATGGACAGCATGTTTGCAAAATTAGGCCCACAGGCACGAACGGGTTACCTATAACGTTGTTACAATTGCAAAAACTTTGTTCCTGAAAATATCTTCCCTGGTGAGTCCCAGTCATCTCTCGCACTCTGATGAATTACCCAAGATCAAAAACCCAAATCAACTTAGGTGAGGTCACGGTTTTCGCACCAAGCATGACAGTCTTAAAATGCCCTTTAGTTGCACTCTAGCGTAAGAATGACCACTGAAGAAATGATTGGCCACCATAGGGCGTCAAAAGCGCTACTGGTTCATCAGTGACAAATGGGACATTGAATATTCCTCTAGCAGGATATGGCATGGGGAAGAATAGAAGACAAAGCAAAGATTTCAAAAAAACATACAACGCGATAATGATAAAAATAGGCACGAAATGATGAATAGTACCAGTGTGGAAGACAGGTAGCTTCTATAAATGTGAAAAAAAAAACATAAGCTGGATTTGATCCTGCAATAATCTCAATTGCATTTCCTGTCACTTAGCTGCCATATAGATACAAATGATGAAACTGAATAAAATGAATGTCTCAGCAAGAAAGCACTCAAACTGTGTACGTGCAAAGCATACCATTGGAACATGCTTATCGCTCTTTCTCATATTGCATACATAATCGCGAGGTGCGGGAAAAACACGTCAATTTGGGCATACTTGCGGAACGACGGGCGCATGCTTGCAAGGATTTATTCGATAAATTTAAATCACAGAAGACTTTACGGAAACGAGAGGTATTTGATGACGAAGAAGGACAGACAACGTGCACTCAACAACGATTAGCGGACTACGATGATAACTTGCCAAATCATCAAACAATTAGAGCAGGATAAACGTTTCAAAGTTTAAAAATAATCTCGATAACCTTGTTGGAAACTCTACACTCCCGTGAGGGAACAGAATCAAGCGTCTATATTCACCAGATGCTTGCGAAACTACATGACCATATGGGCACATAAAAGAGCTGAAATACGAACTCTAACCAGAACCACAAACCTTTACCACTACGCAAAGGTGAGATTTCTAATGGCAACATCCAAATACTTCGGTACTTATGAGGAGTGCAACCTTGCGAAAAGAACATTCATCGATCGAGCGAACTCACGCCCGCACCAGCCGTGCCGCGCCAGCGCGAAGCGTTTCGACAACGCCGCGAAATGTCGCTGTGGGACCATGAGCGCTTTCTCTAGGAAATTCCTTTGAAATTCGCTTTATGTGAACCCGCTCAATAACATATCATCCATTCTGAGGGTAGGAGGCATGAAAAAGCTTTATGCACATATGTGTTCGACAAGGTACTTGTGCTATGAATCATCATTATTGTTTCAACCTGCCGTCAGAGGTAGAACAGTAGTTGTTAGACGACATGATATGCGTCTCCTTAGTCTCAGAATAAAAACGCTACATATGGTTCGTCCTCCAGAAATGTTCCCATAAGTGCCATCAAAGTGGCTGCCTTTCGATCTTTTTAACACGTTAACTGAGCAAATTTAAGGCGCTTATTCGAAGTTGAGTTGAAAGATCGAAAGGCAGCCGCGTTGATGTTACCTATGAGAACAGACGATACCTACTTGAATTGCCTTGAAAGCTTCCTATCTCGAAAACATATTACATTTACTACTCTGACATTCGGAGCGCGGCGCTTTGTAGTGCGTGCGGGCCGCACATTATCGAAAGCGCTCCGTCTCCGCAAGTTACTAGAGAATAAGTTTCATAAAGGTTTTTCTTCTTCTTTCGTCGTGCCGTGAGCATTCTCAACTTCAAGTCCAAGAAAATCCGAATTTAGAAAATTCTGAAGAATTCATAGAATTCGAAAATTTGAACTCATAGAATTTAAAAATTCAATTTAGCACTCATTCGGGACGCTGCCGAGGGATAACGTTCGTAGAAGCAGAAAATAAGTGATGGAGCAGCCTAATGAAAGCGTCGTACCTCACGCGGGTACCCATACATGGCTCAGCACAGGTGGCTTGGTAAGCAAGCTGGATATCGTTTTTGGGACAAAAAAAGGGTTTCGTATTTGTGGCTGAAAAGACAGAAGATATACGACATTTTTTTGGTCGACGTTTCGTTTTCTTGAAGATTTTCTACGATAACGGCTTAGGGTCAAAGGGGACTTCGTAAAATTTTGGCATGGGATCTCACGTGGATAGTAATTTTGGGGCCATAACTAAGCCACTGCCCAACCGGCAGTTCACGTATGCTCTAACGGCTGAGATATCCCCCTCGAAACTGGACCCCGCGATCGTGTTCCGCATGGATTCATGGCGCAAGACATGTGTCCTGGCGCGAAACTGCCATGAATCCATGCGAATACGATCGCGGGGTCCAGTTCCGAGGGCAATATCTCAGCCGTTAGAGCACTACCTACGCTGCCGCTTGAGCAGTGCCTTAGTTAGGGCCCCAAAAGTACTTTCCACGTAAAATCCCCATAGATCCAGATCTGCCTGGACGCTGCCTTTAAATACTCATATTTGTTCAGATTCCTTTTGTCATTGCATATACCTATATTTTACTCTCGTGTTGTCTATTGGGTCATATATTGTTGAGAGACTGTTTGAGCTGCAACTATTTATCCTCCCCACCTTCACAAAAGGATGCGATCTGTGCGCCCGCTGGATCTGGGAATCGCCCGGTGGAGAGTACCACAACGATATTAACCACATCATCGTCAAAGATATTGCCTAACGGACTTGCTGTTGCTCCAATTCACAGGAAGGCTATCACCTCCTACGCGCCGGTTCTACTTTTTACGGGTTTCCCACGACTACTTTATTCGCGACCTGTTGTCTTCAATATCCGGCTTTTGGCAAGTGAACAACAGTGACTGTATGACTATACGACTGACTATACGAGTGACTATAGACTATCGCTTCGTCCAGCATCTCTACGACTGTGCTGAGGAAGCCGAGAGTCCAAGAAGTAAGAAACGTCTTCTTCGGAGCTGTTACGCCAATTGGGATGAGCACGAGCCACAATTGACTATCAACTGACGTTCGTGCTTGCGAAGCGATACTGTACACCTGTTTCCCCGTTGATCATCGTTTTGCACGAGCGAGTACTAGCGGTAGCGGTGTTCCTTTCTCGGCCGGTTGTTGACCAGTGTTTACGTATCGCACCAGGAACACGTGGAACGCTCTGAAAGACTTGAAGGACTTTGTGATCATATCTGATCATCGCGCCGGCGGTCTTCCTCGTTCGCGTTTGACGTCCAGTGCAATGGCGTTGGGGGGAGGCAGGGCCCCCCTCGAGAACGGGTCGCGAAATTTTTGAAAGTTACTTACATGGGTTATAAAATTGTGCAAATGACTTGTCTGCACTTGAAATAAGTAAAATAATCTTTAAAATTCAAGAAAAAATTCATTTTAGCCTTATAAAAATTTTTTAGGGCGTGGCTGACGCCACGCCGCCTCTTTCTGAAATTTTAGGGTTCTAGCCCGTGAAAATTTTAGGGAGCATACCAAAAAATTTTTCGGAGTGCGTGTCTAACGCCACGCACCTTCGTTCGGAAAAATTTTTTGTCGCCCCCACCCCCCGAGCAGAGATCCTGGGTACGCCACTGGTCCAGTGGTATCCAACTGTTACAGCTCTCCACCGGTTGTCGTCAAAACGCATTACGTGCCCGACCAATCTTATCTTGTTCTGCTTGGCGTATGCGCAGCATCCCTGATCTTCGATCGTTGACGTTGGGTGGAACTTCGTATTCCTTGCCTCACTTGCGTGAGTCGGTTTACTCCTAGCATCACTCTCTCAATAGCATCTTCGGTGACGCTAACCGCATGTTCATCCTGCTTCCTCATTGTGTATGTCTGAAGCGTACGTCAAAGCAGGAAGAACCGTCGAGTTGAAGAGGTAGGCGCAGAGCCGGATGTTCTTGGTTTTAATCACTACGTCCCGTCTCGATACGATGAAATGCCTTTCTTGGGAGACTCTGGATCTGATAGCGCCAAGGTGGATGAGCACGAGTCACATGTAACTGCCGGCTAACTAACATTCGAGCAGTAATGATTGACGCCGCGGAGGCTGGAAGAAGTATACACAACGCCCGCCGAAGCTTCGTGAACTTACTTCAAGTCCAAGATGACCACACTTCGCCTCCCTGAAAGCCATAACTGCTTCCCGAAGCTCAATGAAGAAGATCATTCACGACTTCTACTCAGATGTCTTTTACAGCCACGTCCATCTGCCTTCAAGTCACCCCAGGAAGTACGATTATGTTGCACCCCTTGTTCTTCCTTTTGATGTTCGTCATGCTATCATGTCGGTGAAGAATCGTGCAGCGCTCGGCCCCAAGAGGATCAATTCAAAACATCAGCTTCTTTCGCCAGTTTTCATCAAGACTTTGGCAGACTCTTCACGCGGTTCCTGACAGACGGCAAGGTTCCAATCTAATGGAATACCAGAAAGACGTTGCTGTACAAGAAATGAGATCCCGCTTTAATGGCAACTATCGTCTCAGCGGCCTTTTGTCAGTAATCTACAAACTCTTTATGGGAGTAGTTTAGCATGGTCGGAAGAGAGTTAGTGAAGGATAACCAATGAGCAAGTTAGATTATTAAAATGATACTTACGAGAGACCACATACAGTCAGTGTCAACCATGTGCTTCTTTTCCCGTAGTAACTAAGCGTCCGCAGCGCGTGAACGCGCAGCATTCTCCGATCAATGCGGCTAATTTAAGCGTTTTGACGCACGCCTGACGCGGCACAGGGCCCTAGCGTTGTGCTTGAGGGCAGCGGTTCGGCAGAATGAGACCCGTGGTAAACAACGTTACGGAGTAGAACCTCAATAGTGAACCTACAGGCCAAGTCCGATATTTCACTGCCACTTCTACTCCCTATAATCCAACGCAAAGGCAGCGCTTTTGTCTCCCCCCAAATAAGGTGCCAGACTAGCTGATTGTGTCCCAGCGGAATGCGGCCAGTCACTGTCATTTGTTGTCACGTAGTAGGAAAATCAAGATCGTGCCTGATTTCGCTACAACAAACATATTTTGGTATGAGGCTTTCTTATCATTTTCTCTCATACTCCTAGGCTTTTTATCATCTTTCCAAAACTGCTGTTGTTGCAACCATCGCAGACGTCACTACGATTTTTGTTCAACGCGACGCTTTATGACAAGTTTACTAGTTGCGCCGCGTCTTGCTGAAGCAGGATGATCGACTAATTTGGCGCCTACCTTACAGTTCCCATCTCTGGCCTTGCTTACCTTCTTTCCCTTCCGTTGTCAGAGCGCGCGTCCTCCAATGCTATAGGCATAAGTGTCCCGCAACGATTGCGTCTTCGCAATGGCGGGATTTGCGTCCACTTGTCCATGTTTGAAATTGATGGTTTTGGGAAATGCTCGATCTAGGGTGCTTTCTAAGGTGACTATTGGAAACCAGCGCAGCGGATTATTCCAAGTAAGGCGAGAAATCGATGTCTTGAAAATTTGTCGATCCACTGCCTTCAAGCTGATCGGAAAGGGGGCACAACGTTGACACGACCTACACGGACTGTACAATGTCAAGGCTCATTGAAGTATCACGAAAGTGAGGTTACTGCTCTGTCTCATCTTTATCGACTCAAAGGCCTTTGACTAGGATGAGATTGAAGCCGTCATCCATGTCTTGGTAATCAAGGTATTCTCACTCAGTAAATTAAGATAAGGCTCATTGTGATCTTTCTTTGAAGGCACCGTCCACCCAATTCTCGACTTCCATGTTTTTGTCACTTTCAGGCTTTCTGAAGGTCCTAATTTCGAATATAACGTTGAACATCCTTGAAACCCCCAAAACCCTGTTTTGGAGAAGGGCGCAATGCAGGTCGCGGGGCTGCGGCACGGTTATGCGCGTGGCGCGGCGCGGCGCGTCATTTGCAAACCTGCAAAGTGGGCGGGGTGACCAGAGGGGCGAAGTGACCGCACCGGATTCTTCCGGTCCCTTCCGGAGCGGATTTCTCGCTTTGGAAGCAGTCTTTTGCTGCTTAACTTGGGGGTTTGAATAGTTTGGGGGCCCAGCTAGTATGCTGGGGGCCCAGCTAGTATGCCATCATAATCTCGTCAACCCCGCTTTGGGTGGACGGTGCCTTTAAGGAGACTGCCTGTGAGATTCTTCTAGACTATATGATAAGAAACTAAAATCATTATTCCTATCGTTTCTACTTCGCGCCGAGGGTTTGTCATCTTTATTAATCTACAAAAGCCTATATCACTAGCTGTTCGGAAAAGTATCTGAAATTGTGTCGAATATTGTTGTGCCGAACAGGGTAATCCTTTTATTGCAGTATTCTTAAGTCTTACGTTTGACGCTTTCGTCTTCATCAGAGGCCAGGGAACCACCGCTTCGCTAGATGTCCGAAGCGAATGTAGATGTTCGTAACGGACGATTCAGTGTCACTGAGTGAACGACTCAGTGTCACTGAGTCGTCCGTTACATCTAGCGAAGCGTGGTTCCCTGGCCTCTGATGAAGAACCAATAAAAGAAACATCTAACAACCTGTTCGGCACGAAATGATTACGGAGCATGAAATCTGGATATGTTGTTAGAGTTTTCCTGCATTTTGCTGCTTCGATTCTTTATAGTATCGTTTCAGCTTTGCTTGCATGCTCTTCTGCAAAAGCTTTATCAGCATTGCTCCATTTGCAATAGGCATGAATTAATATTATCGACACGTAAAGTTGCCTTCTACCATAAGTTTTTCATTTCTTGGTTGGATCTTTGCAATCCTTCAGCCATATCTGAAAACAGCGAAACTACACTTAGGTAAAATTCCTCTCCATTCACTGCAGCAGACCATGAGGGAATGTACGGAAGTTCAGTTTATAGTTATTTGATCAGAATCATCTATTTTATCTACTTTAAGAATATTCCAGGCATGATCTATTATTTTGTGCAGAATCTATTGCTGATGTAAATAGATACATTAGGAGGGTTATGACATATTCTAACAAGCCTTGCATTTTCGTACAACTGCTATTGTCGAATACAAAAGTACTTTTCAACAAAACAAGGAATTCCATCAAAGGCAAGAAGTACCAGTGACATTAATCGGTCAAAGCAAACAAGAGATCATAATTTGGATCTAGAACAACACGACAAGATGTATCACAGATATAAGAGTCATTGGATCACTGTTGTTATTCCACTACGATGGACTCCGTGCCTACAACGAACGCAACATTCTCATCTTTGTCCATCGTTGTATTTCTACTTAGGTCTTCATCTTGCCCCCATTTTTGAATTTCTCCTGAAGAAGCTTGTGATGTTATTGCCATATAAGCCGCGCACGGCATACCTGATCCAAACAAAAGGAAAACTATTCCAGCAAAAACGTTCACTGCAGCGGTTAATGAGAATAATACTCGCCATTCAAAAAGAGTGCCCTTAAAAGTAGAAGAGTAAGTTAAGGGAAGTCTGAGCATTGCTAAATTATCTCTGCGTATTTTTTTCACAATCTCAAAACTTACCGTTTTCTTAACGATTCCAACAATGGCAGGTGTCGTAAGCCTTCCAAGCATCCCAGCAAAGATTGATACTGCTGACATGGTGCCCGTGTAGCGTGGAGCGATTGATAGCAACGATGTGTAGAAACCACTAGTGAAACCACCCATGCAACCGTACCTAAGTGTATCTGGGTGATGAGATGTCTAAGTATCAGCAAACGTACATGCAACAAATGCAGAAAAGGGCAAGCACGGGTGTCGTACAATCCACAAGTAACGCTATTGCGAGGCAGAACAAGGCACTTCCAAAACTTGCTGCAAGAATTTTGGTTACAACGAATATCTGCATAAGGCTTTCTGATAGCGATTGCTTCTGCTGCGCCCAGAGTAGCTAATGGTATAAAACTTTCGCCTTTCTTTGAAGAAATTTCTCAGCTAAAACCAATTTTCTCTTAGGTACCCGTTACTTTCTGTCTCAGAACCTCCTATATCCCTTCACGAGTAATTCTGGTATAGCTGTTTGATGAAAGCGAGCAGTCCTGAACTTCCCTACTGTATTGATATTACTTTGGGGTAGTTATAAAGGGCATAACCATTTTTACACAAACTTTTTTCAACTGTTTTGGAAATTTGGACTCTTCCCGGCATACCGACGAGAGGATTGCAGATACATATACCTTGAACTCTTGTTAGATCTTATTGCTGCAAATGATACTTGTTAGCTCTTATTGAGTGCAAATGTTACAGCTTCGACGAGACGAGGGCAGGTGTTGGTAACAAGAATGAGACCAACATCAATTTGTATGCTCATATTTTCCCGAAAGCTGAGTTTTTTCCTTGCTGTGAACTTCACAAAAATTTGATCTTGAGCTGACAGCGGCTGTTCTTCCTTGTTCATCGAATAACTTGAAGGGCATAGAACGCTGAGCTTAGATCTGTAACGGCTATCTGCGAAGCGACAGTGAGAAAGGTAGATAGGATCTTTTGGGCTAGGAATTGAATGCGCAGATAAGGTAAAAAAACAAACAGTTCTACCAGTTTGTGAAAGAAGTATTGATAAGCATAATATGTTAGGCCGAAGTATTAATTGCATAAATCGTTTTGAATAGTCCCAGTTGAGCTTACGGAAGTTTTGGATGATGTCACCTGCAGCCACGCCTTTGGATTCCCTGCCTCGCGAAGAGGCGCTTTGCAGTTAGCGAATACTGTTTTGTCTTTAGCGCTTTCATAAGGTCGCGAAAATCAAAATAGCTTCCGAAACACGCTCTTCGGATTGGCTAAGACACCTAGAAAAAATCTGCGTAGGAAGGTGTCCAAGTCACCTCTATTTATGGGAATCAGAAAAATTCCATACGTAACGTACTTCGGAAAATTATTTCTACTCAAGCTTCTTCGCATTTCGATGGATGGGATGCTACTGTTCTCTTGTTTTCTCCTTCTTAATTTCTCAGACCATCGACTTCCGCAATTATTATTGTCTGGATGAATCTCAAATGAGACTCTGTCGGAAATATACTTTGATTATGCGTTAGCTTAGTTGAGCAGATCTGACTCGACATTCATGTCTTCCACAACGTATAGCCTACAAATCTTTTGCAGACACCATCCTAGGAGTTCTGGCCGTTTCAAAGATGTTAGGCCCCCGCCAGAGTGCCAAAGCCATGCCAGCGCTACGCCAGCGCCGAGCCAGCGTTTCGATCGATACACGTGTATTTCGTTAGGGCGGGGCTAGCTGACCTAGTTCTCAGCAGGTAGATGTCCCCAAAGAAATACACGTGTATCGATCGCGCTGGCATAGCGCTGGCATGGCTTCGGCACTCTGGCGGGGGCTACAATTCAGATTCGAGCAATTCTGTCAACTCCCTTGTCAGAGATTCTTGTGTAGACCGCAGTTGTTGGCATACTTTAGCGGGTTCATCCAAACATCATATCACGATAAGCTGCCTTTGGTAAAGGCAATAATGGATGGAGTTAAACAAAAAGTTAAATGTTATCACTACTATCTTATGACCCTGTCAACGCAAACACCTTCTGCAGAACGTGCGACCTCGACATAGTGTTGAAAACACTATCGACTTCAGCCCTCAGGACCCTTTTACAAGAAATGTCTAATTGGAGACGCAATGTGACCTATTGCAGTCTACATAATAGCTTAAGGTTGTGAAAATCGTTCTAAAGAAAAAAAAGAGGGCAGGAGCTGCTCATGCAAGACATTTTCCGCCGCTTTCTCGGCGACACTTGAGCGACAGCTGCCGACAGGTTGGAGAGCACAAGAAATCTTGTGCTCTCTCAGGTGTGACAGGCGCATGCACCTTCCTGTCGCAAGTGCCGCTGTTGTTTGCGAGTATGAATATTGCGGCAAGGCATAGTTCACGCCGGTCATTTGAACCAATTTTCGCATTCCCTTTAACAAATAAACATTTCTGTCGCCCATTTGTTTTCCCTAATTCAGCATTGCTGCGTATAAAATAAAACTAAATATCAATTAGTTGTCGTCAAAATTTTAGCTCGAAGATTTTGCTGTGAATATTTTTGGGTTGCTCGTGTCGATGAGGTGTTCATAAAGTCCAAATAAGTGCTTTGATTGTGTTCGGTCAAAGGCACCACTTTCTTGCGCATTCTAAGATTGTCTCCAAAGTATATAAAATGCAGGTGGTCGCTTGGCTAGTGTAACTGTGGTCGGGGTGGAGCATGCAGATTTAAGGCAGTGTCCGAACTTTGGGGATTGGGATTTCGCGTTGCGCAAAAGTAACCGTCCTGACATATCCTTTGATTCAGCGGGACTGGCGGCTGCAAGGCGGGGCTTCTACGCCTATCAAGGCTGGGGAATAATCAAAGAGCACGCTTGTGAGGGAGACACCGACTGCGTTGGATGCAAACAGTCGCCTTCCAGCCGCCAATCTCGTTGAATCAAAGGGTACCCACCTGCTCAATCGGCACATTTCTTGGATGCTGAAGCGAGAAAATTGCTGAGGAAGTAGTGTGAGCCACGCCACAATCGGAGAGCTTCGCTGATTGAGGGATAGCCGAAAGCTAGAGCTTTATATCGCATACAGTCAAGACATAGGGTCTCATCACGACCCTACATCTTATTCTCGGCGGCAGGTGCCAAGTTCAAATCAAATTAAGCGTTATCGACATTTTCGTGGGAGAGATAAGCCCAGATAAGCGAAAAAAATTCCGTGAATTTTGCCCCTGGGTGCCTTTGAAGCGCGCGATGCCACAGATTTGAAGCGGTACACCTGGTCAACCTGCAGGCATATCCATTTGGCAATGTTGCCCGAGATGTGTTAGTTGGAAAGTATGATATCATTATGCGCAATATCTACATCACTACCGGCCACGTAGATGAGTGCATGCGCCGTCTGTCAGCACAGTCAAAAATTCCTATCTTAATCCTCACAGGTCATGCGGTCGCTAGCTGCTTTTTCCTTCTATGTACCCATCATTCGCGAAGGACCTGCCCATCTCATAACAGTGTTTCAAAAATATTCGCATATAAACACACTGTTTGATCACCACTATCTCACTGTATGAAGTGTCTCAAAAGTATTCATTTGTAATCACTATTCATTTGTATTCAAAAGTATTTGCATTGTTTGATTAGCAATATCGCTCTTTTTCTTGCCCCTTTATCTTTCATTGTGCAAAGTTGGCTTCTAGATTTATTCCAGAAGCCAGCTTTGCACAATGAAAGATAAAGGGGCAAGAAAAAGCCAGTTTCTAGATAATTTAGACCTGCATTCTGAAGCGAATTGACGATTGCTCTTTATTACTAATTACGTGGAGACTTTGAGCATGAGGCGCTATTGTGAATTACCTGTCGTTCCAAAATCCATAAAATTCTGAGAATTTGCGGCAGATCTTCGTGCACGCTCTTTTATTGAGTTCCCCGGGCAGTTTTGGAAATTTCATTTTCAAACTTATTTTTTTCGCACTCGATTGTGTTTTAACGGCAAGTATTAGGTTGTTACATAAGTCTTGTTACACTTAACTTCTAACGGCGATAAGTCATACACCTCATAGTCTTTGCAGGACTCCAAGGTACCATTCGATAGAGCAAGGCAAGCTCTACAAAATGGTCTGCAAAATTTCGCACCAGCTCCGACCCACCGTAAGTTTGCACCCAAAATCTGAGTCATACTTAAGTTCAAAAAATCGCGAAAAATTCATATCTGTGTTCAAACAAATCCTACGGATCTTCAACTTGCTCACAAAAATTGCCCACTATATCTAACACTCATATGTACCGTTGCTGTATTTTTTCCTTATCTAGAAATCGAGAAAAACAATTTTTTTTAGTTTTTACAAAAATGGAGCTATGCTGTTTCTATTTATGTAGCTGTATACTACAAGCTTTTAGAAGTACGACCCTAAATTTTCAGCTTCCCAGAAGCCCTAGTTTTCGAGAAATACCTAATTTAGCATTGAACACCCGTGTGATAAAAGCTAAATTTGGTATTTCTCGAAAACTAGGGCTTCTGGGAAGCTGAAAATTTACGGTCATACTTCCAAAAGCTTGTAGTATACAGCTACATGAATAGAAACAGCATAGCTTCGTTTTCGTAAAAACTAAAAAAAATTCTTTTTCTCGATTTCTAGATAAGGAAAAAATACAGCAACGGTACACATGAGTGTTTGAAATAGTGGGCAATTTTTGTGAGCAAGTTGGAGATCAGTAGGATTTGTTTGAACAAAGAAATGAATTTTTCGCGATTTTTTGAATTTCAGTACGACTCAGGTTTTGGCTGCAAACTTACGGTGGGTCAGAGCTAGTGCGAACTTTTGCAAACCATTTTGTAGAGCTTGCTTTGCTCTATCGAATGGTACCTTGGAGTCCTGCAAAGACTATGAGGTGTATGACTTATCGCCGTTAGAAGTTAAGTGTAACAAGACTTATGTAACAACCTAATATTTTGAGAGTTCCGTGCAGGAAGCATGAGCTTTTCGAAGTCGTATCTAGTTCTTACCGAAGTCAAGCGTATTTGACCTATACATTTAGAAAGGAAGTCTGTGCAACAATGAAAATTTCACAGTTTATTTTTTGCTGCCATTTTTGCGCAGTCTGCCAAGAAAACCATTTGCGGGCAGTTCATTCTGTTTAACGAGGCTATCCTCTTTGAAACCGCGACTGTGTTCGGATTTCACATTACGCGCACAAGAATTACAAGCTCTCAAATTGCCTTTGACCATACCTGTTTCAGCTTTTGGCGTCGATATTATGAGGATCGGCATGCCCCGGTGATGGGCTCCAAAGATGTGCGAGACATTACCCCAACAATTGCAGCAATCAAAGATTTGATTCATTCCGTGAAAAGAAGGAGGTCTTCGAACTCATATATACAAAATGGGGCATCTTTGGGTGCAAAAATGGTCAATTTTTCAGATTTTTCAAGAAGAATTTTCTCACAGGCTGTGCTCTGGAAATGTGATACGTTTTATGAGCAGCTCAGCAGATTTCCACATAACTATCGGATGTGAGCTCTCTAGCTTGCTTCGTTCCTGAGAAATTCCTGCACTGACAGGCCAACTTTTAAGTCGACCTCCCTCCCTACTGCGCATGCTTATGGCCCGAAATGAAGTGCTGAGAGCCCAGTAAAATAATTATGCGCCATGTAGACAACATTGCTTTTGCAGCAAATTTTGCCTCTGCAAAAGGGTCAATCTGCTTGGTGTTACAGCAGTTAAAAAAATTTTTGGAAGTACCCGGCAACTTTCCGTACAACCTAATGATACTCACGTTTTTACGAAATTGCAAAGCAAAGATGAAGTCTCATCATAAGCAACACTATGAATATAGAGCTTACTGTTCACCCGGCATAACCTATACGAAACTTATAGTGAAGTGCAAAAGTCCTATTCCAAGTTAGCGACTCTAATTAGCTCAATGCATGTTGGATAGTTCAAACCTCTCTTCGACGCAAAATATAGTTCTCAATGGCTCAAAACCTCCTTCAAAGTTTAGCGTAATTCTGCAGTAAGGAGTGCTGGTTCCCTCCATATTCTAATTGGAGCCAGCTCTAGGGCTTGAAGGTCGCAAGACTATTTCAAGACTATCTGACTATCTAAAATGGGATGTAACGATCAAACAATGTGTACACACTTTTAAGACACGCTTTAAAACGTACTTTGAGTTCTTTTAGCGTTATACTTTTGTAGCGTTACAATACTAATGAATACCTGCCTACACTTTGAGAGAGGCGAACTGAAAAGGTATTTGTAATTATTTTCTTTGACTTCAGCTTATCCAGTAGCATGCTCCAGGTAATCTTGAATAGAAGGTTGATGACGTTTGGAATTGCTGAGAAAGTACCGTTCTAAATTTTGTTTATTGATTAGTATATGGTATTAAACTGGTAAAAACATACCGCAATCACCCCTAAAAGCAAGACATCTTTCAGAAATGAAGGCAGATAAAAGTGAAGCATTGTGACCGTCACGTTGGTGATGAAAAAGCATAGCAGCTGTGCCAAGAATGCTGACGACGTAAACATACTTGCATATGGGACAGTACTAGCTTTCTGAATAAATTCTATTGCATATGAGATTTCTTACATTTACAAATGCTGGCAGATTCACATTAGCTCGATTAGAACGATGCTTTACTGCTTCGGCCAGGTATGCTCGTTCTTTCGTTGTCATTCGTCCACATTTTCTTGGATTATCGGATGAAGTAAAGGACCAGAGTATGCACCAAACTGTACTCAAGCTGGCTGGAATATTCAAGCTCCTTTCTTTTGGACTGCATGATGCGCGTGACCAAGTAAGCCTCAAATTTCAGAACGAAACCAACCTGTACGTCAGTTTGCCCATATTCTCAACTCATTTCTATGTATAATAAGGCGATAAAGCGTTTAAAACGAAAATTCTTCCTAATTCAAACATAGTTCAGGCTCTCGCGAAATGAAGCGTTATAAGAAGCAAGAATTTAGAACTTTACTTCTTTTTTGAAAGCTATATTTGGTTAGAGAGCCCAAGGATATAGAAGTACAAGAGACGACAGCCCGCAATCCTTATTTTATTTTGCTTGTGATAAGAGCTCCGATAAAAACGACGTAACCTCGCGGCTATGTCAGGAAACGCCTAAACAGCAGGGCATGCGCAATGAGGCGCAAATGTATCAACACCTATAAATCACAATGCATTTCTTGATGAGTGCTTCTGAAGTTCTTGAAAGTCTAGACTTTACAACGTACAAAACTAATGCATGTTAGCCAGGCGAGAAGAGTTTTACGAGAGCATAAAACTGAAACTGGAAATTTCTTTTTTACTATGGTCATCAACAAACATTCAATTGCTTACCTATAAAGTAGAAGACGGCTGGCCAACCAAGAGAAGAGGCGCAAAGTGCGGCTGCGAGCGGATTTCCAACAGCACCTAAGTTAACGAGTTAACGATTGAAGTTCAGTCGGGCTCCGTTTTCGAAGTTGAAAATTACACAACGTTTCCTCAGACCCTGTCTAGAAGGAGTGGGATCGAGCTAATTTGCTAGATATGCTATTAGGTGTGCGAGTCATATGCGACAGTAAATGAGGACAGCAAGATGCAAACAATATTTTTGATTTTCAAACAGTTTTACTCATGCATAATAAAAACCGTAAGGGATTCCAAGGCTATAAAAAAATTGATTGCTACCTATCTGGGTGACGGCATAGTTATTCAAAATTCTGGTTGGTTGGATCTACCGAATGGAACTGGGATGGATTGGGACACATGGCAGCGCGGCGAGCGCATTTAGCACCTGCGCCTGTGCGGGCAGATCCTCATCAAAAATCCTTGCCTGAATGGGGTTACTAAATCTCCCCCCCCCCCCCTCCGATTCACGGGATACTCGCCGGAAGATGCGAGCATGACCGCATGCGGCGAGTATACTGTGAATCGGGAGGGGGGGGGGGGCATTCATCAATCCCGTTCAAGCAAGGGTTCTTGTTAAGGCTTTGCTTAAACAGGCGCAAGCGCTACCAATAACGCCGCTTTGAACTCTGTAGGAGAACGCAGAAATTCCTCTTGTTTCCTTCCTCTTTTCAAGCATGAATAGTGCTGACGCTCAAGCACACGTCTAGTAATCTAGTCAAAGTCAGTCCCGGCAAGAACCAATACTACTTAGCTGAGCTTATCTGTCCAATGGAATAAAAACTCAAAAGTTGAAATGGCCAATCTCAACAAGCTGCGTTGTGCGTATTTCAGAGCCCCTGTGTTGGACCTACTACATATCCTCCTTCCGTATCTACTGAGCAGTCCCCTAGCGAGGTAACACGCGTTAGGTTTGTTAGGAGTCTCAGCATGTGGGAGTAGTCCACAACATGAAGAGGACGCATGGCACAGGGTTGGGCTAGACTGCGTGGACGCGACGCATGCTGCTCAGTCTGATCCAACTTACACTCATGAGCGTGCAGACTCGTGATTTAGAGGTCAATGATCGATTTCCTTTTGCCTCCAGACCTTATGCAGTTTATTTCCAAATGTTGAACAAAGACGCTATGAGTAGTAAGACATCAAAGGCAGCGTCCCACCAGTTTGCGGGTACCTGGCTCTGGTATTAATGTAATAGTAGACCCGCTAACTAAGCGACGACAGAAGCTTGCAGCGCGAAAGGGGATCTACGAAGTCCGCCTCCCACGTGGCCCAAATCTTACGGTAGGCTCGGGCGAGTACGAGATGCATGCAAGGTAGAGACGCAGAGTGTTGTGGGACCCTGCACTCATGACTGTGTGCGCTATGCATGCTCTGTCCTTGCAGTTTGACATTGATCTGTGGGCGGCGTACGGGCCTGCCGTAAGATTTGTGCCGCTTGGGGGGGGGGAGGAGGAGGCGATTTGTAGACTTCGTAGACCCCTTTCGCGCTACAAACTTCTTCGTCGCTTAGTTAGGGGGTCTACTATTACATTAATATTATAGCTAGGTACCCCCCAATCTAGTGGGGCGCGTCTTTGACAAAACATTTCGGAATACGATAATTTTTTGACTTCAACTGTCAAGCTCGTTTCGGAGAATAGGACTGGTCATGAAAAGAAAGTGAAGTAGAAAGAAAAGAAACACTGGTACTTTTTTCAAAGAGCCTGTTCTGAATCTGTATCTGAGAGTAGCGGCATGTTTTTCTCTGTACTAAAGCAGTGGACGCTTTTCTACTCAACCGAGGAGCAAGTTGAAAAGGGATGCACGCACAGCATTCATTCAATATGCATACTGCGAGCGTGCTTTCCTTTCTTTTAATCTAATCAAACAAAAAATCTTATTCCCAGATGTTTTGCTAGTGTTTTGGACTGCTAAGGACTTTCAACATAGGAAATACTTTTATTGATTGCAAAGAGTACGCAACCCAAAAGAATTGACCCCTGACCTCCATCTTGCGAGTGTGCGAAACTACTATGAGCGTTCACCTTCCCAATATTGCGGACTATACTTAGCTAAAGCCTCACTGGGACTTCGGCTAAATTCAGTGCTGCAATTTCGCGTGTTTCATTTCGGTGTTTAACAGATATAAAAGGAGGATAAGCAGTAGAATTGATAATGGATCTAACTGCATACAGCTTGTGATCAGACTTCGGCTTCTGACCATTCTCTTTCGGAAGCTTCTCTCAGAAAGAGAAGAAACATAATTCAGTCTTAAGCAATGGTACCTGCAAACTGATTTCCAGCTGTGTACAACGCTAGCACAGTACCCTTCTCTTCTACGGGAAACCAATTGGATATCATCGCGTTTATTGATGGTATAACGAAACCCTAAAGCAATTCTGCTTATACAAATTTTAGAATCTTTATGTCAAACCTCCCCAAATCCCATGATCACACGAGCTGCAAACACTGTATAAGCTCCAAAATTAACGGCCAACAAAGGAGTCACAGCAGTCGACAATATATAAACTACAACAGCTGCTAGCAGTAGTAAACGAGGAGAACATCGGTGGTAGAACAATGTAGATGGACCCACTACAAATAGTGCGCCCCAAAATGTTCCAGAAAAGATGAAATTCTGCATTTGATGGGACCAAGGTAGTGTACCCTAGATGTGTGCAATAACTGCATTAAACCTCGTACAATTGTAATTTGTGGATAAAAATAAGATTACCCCATAGTCTACGACTACTGTATGTCCATCTTCTGCTCTCTTTTCACACTGCTGCTCCGACGAGAAGGCGTTTGTCTTTTGAAAGAAAACATTTAAACCTCCGCACGCTCACGAATATCATATCGCTTTGAAAACTTAAATATAATAGTTTTGTAAAGTCTCGTAAGTTTTGTCTTTTTCGCTATTCCGGCAAATTTGCTTGATTTTAGCTTACCGAAAGAAATCTTAAGGTGTTTTGTAGCAGAATTTTCTATTACGTTGCCTTGTAAGTGTAGCAGCAAAATGAATCAGGTTGCCTCGTAAATTTTTTCACTTTTGATTTTAACCACATTAAGTCGTGAGCTTCTCAATTCTAATCAGCATGCAGGGCACAATTCGATAGAACAAAACCTCTATAAAATGGCATGTAAACTTTCGTAGCTTCAGTACACTTCGAGTCGGAAGAAGAAACCAATGTTTCGGCTCGGAAATGAAAGAAAATATATCCTTGTCCAAGAAGACTTGCAGAGTTTCTCAATCACTCACGCATATACGCTTTGCTCAAGACATTCATATACCGTTGTTGTACCTGTTTCCTAGCAGAAAACTAAAATTGTCATGGTTTTGAAAAAGCGATGCTGTGCTACCTCATATAAGTAAATGTATACTACAAGCCTTTAGAAGTATAACAGAAGGTTTCCAGCTTTCTACAAGTTTCACTTCTGGAGAAATATTGGCTTCAACATAAAAGACTCTAGCAAGAAAAGCTAGATTCGGATTTTTTTAAAAGAGCGCTTGTAGGTGTGGCAGACATATGCTTGTGGGAACAGCACAGCACCTCTTCTTAAGAAACTTAAAATTTTTTGGTTTTTTTCGGTTACTGGCTCAAAAAGAAATACAGCAATCGCATATATGAATGTCTTAGTTCGGTGTAGTTGCTTGAACGAGTAGAAGATTCAGCAAGTTTTTTGGACAGTTATGAAACTTTTTGATTTTTTCAGGAACCCGAAATTCTTACATCGGCTTCCAGTTCAAAGTGTATCAATGCGACTTGCAAGTTTTTTTATAGAGCTTGATCTGCTTCATAGAAAGGTAGCTGGCATGCTAATTCAAACCGAGAAGTATATGACTTATTGCGGAAACTTTTGAGACAACTTAATAGGTTACGTACTAATGGAGGGAAGAGACAAAAAGGAAGAAGGGTTTTACTTTAGCGCGATTAAAGGTCAAGCCGTCAAAAGAAGGTATGCCGTAATATTGCAACCTTTTAAAGCTGAAATCAAATCAGCTCTTTAATATGAAGGAAGATGTTGAGAAAAAACTAGTGACTGATACGATCTCTAATTATGAGTATGTGCATGAACTACTTACAAGCATCTCACCTGCTCTACCTCCTCTATTAGGTTACTGCCAGCTGTATTGTTGATGTATGGATTTTGCATTTCTTCGATTAATGCTACCGCAGTTGAATTCACCATGCACGTCATTGATATGGCAAGATGCATGCGCATAAACGTAGTACAAAAAAATCCGAATGCCAGCAACAGTACCAGATGGAACCGCCTCGAATAGGGATGAAATAGGGCTAAAGTTCACTGTTTATGATAATATTGTTTGGTGCTGCTTTCATTATGTTTCTATCTCAATCTTATGAGTGTTCTTTGTGGCTGTCCATACAAATTTAATGCTATCAAAATTTTCTATCATTCTACAGTATCTGGTTGATTGTAAGAAAATGCCAAATTGATTAGCAAACATCTGCTAGACTGCGCTCTTATCAATGCCTGCAACTAGAGTGTTATCATGGCCTTGTGCTTGATCAAACAATTCGTCATAATGCAAGTAACTGTCTATGAAATTGGATTTTTTTTTTGAAGATAAGGCTTCGCAATCGTTCAGTAGTACACTGAAAGAGGATAAAAACGAACAAATAGTTGAGCAGCTATGGTATCACCAGCAACAATTTGAGACTATCTTCGTTACTGCTCCATTCATTTTCTTTTCTACAATGCGGAATTTGCAGATACAAATTCAATCTCTTTTGGAGTGTTACTCATAAATCCAGGAAAAATAAATTTAAACCCAAGACTTACGTGCTCTTTCAGCTGTAGGCTTCCTTTTCATCTCAACTCTGAAATTTGCTTTTTGTATAGAGAGCATCATGCATGGACTTTATTTTTTCTAGTAAAAAAAAACACTTGCACAAGTGAGTAAGATTTGAACAAGCATAATCGTTCAGTTGATCAACCTATTAAACCATTTAAACAAGTGTTCTGTATATGTAGTCCAAAGTAAGGTCTTCTGTTCATTCCGAACTCAGTGTGAGGTTTATTGCACAGCTTACAGCTGCAACAATAAAACGCTTTGAGTAATCCTTGCTTTTCATGGAATCTACGCTTTTATAAGCTCCATTTTGCATTATAGACCAACATGCTGTCATTATGTACCAGCCGAAGAAGTTCTTACTTGAAAAGAGGCTTTAGACTCAATAAAGTGTGCAGGTATTTTGTAAGCCAAGAAGCAGAAAAGTTTGAGACACAGCGCTCGACTCATGCAATTGTTTTTTGGAAATCAGAAGATGCGATAAGTTAAAACTTCGGGGTTGTAGTTTAGGCCGGTTATCAATCCAGCTTTTCTTTAGACACTTCCTCTTGGACAAACAAGTGGAAGAAATGCACTTTTCCCAACTGCTAAAAAAGACATATGTAATTGGGCCAAGTACCTAGGTTGAGTCAAGAAACAAGTGAAATAGGGCATTTGTAGAATGAAGAAAAAAATTACCGCAATCAGTCTATAGCAATGGCTGGCAAATCCCTTGAAAGAAAAATTTATTTATATTTATGATTGCACATATGATATATAAATACATCATAGTACACTCAAGGGAAACAAGCCAAAATTGTTGTAAAAATTTTTTTTAACAGCACGAAAAATCTCCGCCAGAACTCCAAATATAGGAACAATAAAAAATACAGGTATATAATTCAGTTAAGCGTAGTTTTTAGCAATTTCAAAAATGAGCGTGAGCAATGGTTTGGAGAGAATGAAGAAGCAGCTGGAGTTCTGATAGCGCAAGTGTTTGTGGAGAAGATCGCGCTTGTTTTATCGCAACAATTTATCGCTTGCTTCTGCTTTATAATTCACAACACGCAGTTGAGAAAAGCTCGGCGTTTTGGAAACAAAATGCTACTTTGGATCTTACTAGGGAAAGATACCAAATCGAGCCGTGGTCTGCAACGATATGCATATTATTAGATGCGCCATGATGAGCTGAATCCAGATCTACCTTCCGCATCTGCTGCAGGATCTCTTGAAAGAAGTTATGACCAGAATCAAGCGTTTCGTGTGGCACGCCACATATGGGGGTCGTATTGAGGGGTCAGGGAGGGGAGGGGGGAGGGGACGGTCGTTATTAAAGTGATACTGATATTAGCTATAACATGGATTGTTTGATAGCCAAGATAGTTTCTCATAGTTTCTGTAAAAGTGTTTTTATTTGTTCGTCTTCTTTCTTTTGAGCAATAGCTGCTGGAAGCACAACTACTGTAAGCGAAAAATGGGACGAATGGGACGAATAAGATTTTGGCTGGCTCTCAGTTCCGTAGTTTGATGGTTAACCAAAGTAGGACTCATGAGCAAACAGGTAGTAGTGCTATGTATTGAGTACAAAAAGAAACAGATAATCACTTTTGAATTGTAGTTAACCTGTTGAAATGGCCACTTCACTAGTGGCCCATTTTGAAAGCCCCCAGAATTCGCTAAAACTTGGCACACAGGTCTTATTTGACATGATAATTACGAATATGTACTAATTGTGCTTGGAGAGCCTGTATGTCACGCCTACAGCAGGCAAGCGATATTACCGGGGGGGGGGGGGGGGGGAACGTGGGGAGGGGCGGTAGTGAGACAGAACTTAAGGTGAGGTCGTAACGGAGTCTACTCTGGTTATGGGCGTTTGATACAAATATGGCAGGCGTTCAGTGCACCCTTTTAGAAATTAGTGCTTTTTTCAAAATGCATTTTTTCATGTTTGGTCAAAGTGTGCATCCCTTGCACTCAGCTCACTCAACATCTTGCCAATCATGCACTCCCAAGCTGAAGCCGGATTTCAGTGCACATTATGCACTGCCCTAATGTCTTCACAACATTCTGGAAAAAAGGAGGAGACGGCCTCACAAAATAAAGAGACTTTTCTGAAAGAAAAGTTCTAGTTTTCGGAAGTTTTTTTCTTGCGCTACCTAATCGATTTTCGCAGGCTGCTCCTAGTTATTTGACCAAAAGGAAGGACGTATTGGCCATGTTTTGAGGAACAATCTTCAAAATACATAGAGGCTACTGATTGAGCCGAGGAGCAGTTATGTAAAAGAGTCGAAAAAATGAGCTGAAAAAGGAAAAATCAAGACTTTTGGCTCTTTGCCTGCCAGGCCAGCTGACACCCAGCTGCTTATTTCTTCCGCGCAAATTTGGGAAAAAACTGGGCACGCCTTTTTATGCGCTGGCCATGAGCTTTCATACGTTAATCCTACCCCCGTTTGCGCGTGTAAGCCAAATTCTAAGACAATCGCTGGGGGCAGGCGGGCACCGGAAAAATAGATTGCTGATTTCTCGCACCCCGCTCGCGGATTTTTTGCAAAGCAATCAGGACTTTTCGGAACACCGCTTGCTGAGTGAGCGGATTTTTGAGAGACCGCCTGTTGAATTTTTTTTCGCTCTTATCTTTTGCGGATATATTGCTGTAGCTCTGAGGAATCGAGAACTCAGCAAGCGGTCTTCCGAAAAGTCCTGATTGCTTTCCAAAAAATCCGCGAGCGGGGTGCGAGAGATCAGCAATCTATTCTTCCGGTGCCCGCCTGCCCCCGGCGATTGTCTGAGTTGGTGCAAGTGGTTACCCGTTTGTTGAGTTTCTCACAGAGCATGAAAGTGAAAAAAGGGCAGAAATAAATCTCTGAGTGTACGCGTTGGTGTCAGTACGTCTTCAGGAATAAATTTTGAGGTGCACCCTCAAAACGTTGAAAGCGTTTTTTAAAATTTTCTTTGAATATGACTGTGGCAAACCTTTGTGCCCCACCGTTCTTTGAATTCTACATATCTAAACAAGACTACATCCCTTGTCATTCTCTCAAGTACTCCTTCGCGAAAAACTGTCAAGGTTGTCTATGTTTGTATTTGTTGTGAGTGCTTACTATATTGTGTTACTAGCTGGCTTACCCGGCTCCGCCGTATGTTCCGAATAGAAAATTCCATTTCTAAAAAAAAGGGGGCTGAAATTTGGCAGAGGGGTGTAATCGAGCATGCTGATCACCCCCACGGGGGTGATCAGCATGCTCGATTACCCCCCTGTGCCAACTCCCAGCCCTGTAGCTCAAATTTTGCAAAAAATCGATAAAATCGATATCGATCGATGACGAAAAGTGGCCTATGACACCCGCCGGGGCCCGATGTGTATGTGTGCCAAGTTTGGTCCGGATCGGTTCAGAAATGGAATTTTCTATTCGGAACATACGTACAGATATACACACAGACAGACAGACAGACAAACAGACATTCAGCTTTATATATAAGATTGTTACTGCTTACTCACAGAACTAACAATGCTGACATCCTGATACTCTCTGTATCACTCAGTTGGCAATCAACTCTAGCCTGCAACTCTGCATTATGATCAAATCTGCCTGAGTAACACTAACCATACAAGTAACACGATGTTTCCCAAAACGCCCTTAGGCTCTGCAGATACGTCGAAATCGTGTGGTACGTGCATTTGAGCTGCACCCCTTGCTTCAACCACGAGCAAACCCAAGCGCATCGCTACTCATGCGCATACAAAGTCGGTCTAACGATCCGTTTACTGGAGGACCTCAACATAGGAGGCCTCTACAACTAATCCATTTCCCCTCTAAGGCTCCCGCCAGAGTGCCGAAGTTATGCCAGCGCTATGCCAGCATTTCGATCGATACGTGTATTTCGTTGGGGCGGGGCTAGCTGACGTCCCCAATGAAATACACGTGTATCGATCGAAATGCTGGCGTAGCGCTGGCATAACTTCGGCACTCTGGCGGGAGCCTAAAGCCTGTCTTACGCATCCAATTCACATCGATCGTTTGTAAAAACTTCAGTTGATGCCGTGAGAGATCACTATCAGCTCGGCTCATTATCATAAGCATTAAGGCATAGAAGGGCATCGACAGCAGTAGCGATGTAACATGGCCATATCGGAGCAAGTGATCAAAGCCTAAACTTACACCTCTGCGATAACGTTTGCTGTTTCACGTGCACATTATACAAGAGTACCTCGTACCAAGGAAAACAAAATAGTATTAATTTTTCTGTTTTGTGGTATGATGGATGAGAAATAATTATAACTCAATCCAAATAGGCTAGCATTTAGTGATATGAACTAAGTTTCTGTCTTTTTTTACTTATTCGACAGTTTTCTACTTTACAACCTGAAAGTGGCGAGATGCAAGATGCATAGTTTCACATATGATTGTCGTAGATGTACATTTTCAGATATTCTGAAGACTGAGAAAATAATCAAATATCTGCAGAATCTTGCAGATCAGGATGTGGAATTGCTTGATTGAATCAAATAGAAAGAACGAAATTATTGTCTGATTAGGGTTCTGTTATGTAAACTGCATTTTTACAAGGGAGGGTAATGGAAGGACAAACTGTGATGCATGCGCTCTGCAATTTTATGTGCTTCTTTGGTGTCAATTTTTCAATTCGAATATTAATAATTTGTACTTTGGCAAAGAACGTCGTGCACCGCAGTGTTGGGTCAAAGTTGTGCATTTACAAAAACATCGCCAATATAAGCAAAACGTAAACTGCATTTTTACAATCGGTTGAAAGCACGGCTCTCTAAGCTAGGGGTTTTGAGCTTTTAGCGCCATACGATAGCAGGGCCCCTATCAAGTCAACGCTCAAGTCGCGGCTCATTGCCAAATAACTCTTTACAAGCGAGAAAATTGCTCCGAAACAACGAAGAGAGCAGAGAACCCCTCAACGGCACTATCCTTCTGTCTTTAATGTGGTCTGGCAGGTTCACAAAATCAGTCAACTGAGTCACCAAGTTGGTGAGTACATTATTTCTCTTGAAAGATCGCCTAAAATCCGCTAGCTGGTTCTCCGAAGCGGAGATTGTCGGGAGCTTTTCC